AATTTAGTAAATAGTTTTAATATGCTTCCATAAGTTTTTCACTGTTTTCTCTCTAATTCGACGCTAGCTATGGGATAGTAACTATCACTTAGTGTTGACACATTAAATGAGTTTCCTGAGCTAAGAAGGGCTGAAAGAAAATTGGTATCTTAAAAAATCAATTGTGAGGAATGTACTTTAGGAACTAGCAACAGAGCTTTAAAATGTAATTCTATGTCTTAATTGACCTTCCTAAACTATTTGGAGTTGGGAAGTTTGTACCCAATGGCCACGGGATAAGAAAAGGTAATTCTGAAAAGGATATTAAAAGTCAATAAGTAAAATTGAGTATTTATTATTAAGAGAATTTAGTTTCTAATTATGTTTGGATAGGTACATGGAAATTTATTTAAAGCCATCAGTGTTGAGTTTTGAGATATTTTCAAAAAATGAATAGCTATGACATAAGGAACCCTAGCTTCTTGGTAGTTTTTTTTTTTTTTTTCTGCTAGTGCAGAAGATTAGTTTTATTCATCTTGTGTTGGTACTACCAGATAAACTATTGTTCTCTGAGTAAATAATTGCATTAATGAACCAATGAACACATAAATTAGTTTATGATGTACACTAGTTCCATTACCAGGTTAATGGATATAAGAAATAATGAATACAAGAGGAAAAAGTTGCACTGTGCAAACATCTGTGGGATGTGAGAACACAGAAGTTATGGAATGGAAACATTAGCTTTTCCTCGCCTAAAAAAAGCCTGTGGGTGATGGACACTAGGGAAAGATTTAAGCTTAGTTTACAAATTTTTTTTTGTGGAACAAAGGCAGTTTCAATCAGTTTTGATGACAAGAAAAAGAGATTTGGATTTGAAACACTACTAGAAGCCTCCAAACCTCACATCTTCCCAAATCATAGTGGAATGTGCGTGTATGTGTGTGTGCATCGCTACATCATTTCACTTGTGTTCGGAGTAGCAAACAGAACTTTTGAGAATTCTGTGGCCTCTGAAAAGTCACAAAGGTGAGGAATAGCTGAACCATGATACCAGAAAATCCAAGAAACAGAAACTCCCTCGTATGGAAACAAAATTCTTCAATCATAACACAGGAGAGTCACAGGAACATTGACATTCAACCAGAAGGATGATCTCACCACCTCAATTGTTCTCTCCCTGAATAATGTTTCATTTGTTATTTAAAATGTGTCGATCACTCATTCATCCCATAAGTTATGGCTTCAAAAAAGTTCCTGACATAAAAGCACTCTAGGGGGCCTCTATAAATATGAACACCAACACCTCTTCCATCCTTCCTCTCTCTCTTCCTATCCAGACAAGAGCAAATTTTTCCCTGTATGCTGATATTTTGATTTTATAAAAGCTACTGAGTGCCCTTGACTGTCCTGTGTCCCTGATATCTATTTTCTGATAAAAAAGAATTGCTTAAGATAAGCTATAACAAAGTGAAGTGACCATTTTTCCCTCAGTAGCTGTCCTTCAACACTCACTTAATGAGCTTATTAATAATAGCCCTATTCAGCAAATCATCTCATTAAGGTACCTAAGGGAACATTTTGCAACTAGATTATCTTAAATCGTTCCCCAGGCATTTAAATTCTGTAAATTAGGCACTCTGCAAATGGCATAATTGAGATTTTGATGCCTAAGGAAGTATTTGGTACCACCCACTTTAATTTTTTCCTATTCCCTAGGAATAGCAGTCAGGGGATTAAAAAGCCCCCTTGTCTAATGTTGAATGGGAAGTAAAATTGATTTAAATTGGGGAAAATATTAGAACTCCCTTTGGTTCCTTACCCCATCAGTCCAACTATCTAAAATGATGGAGGGGCTTTCAGTGTATCATGCTCTGAGCTTCAACAATGAAGAGTTGAATGGTGATTCTTGTCTCCTGCTTGTCAGAAAGTGTTATCTCAAAGGATCAGATCTCAGAAACTGTACTTTAGAAGGATTGCCTGAAGCAGAGCAAATCCGCCCACCGCTCTGAAGACAAAATCGCATCCGTGGGTAATCCAGGTCTGGGCTGCTGGCTTATTGTTTGACTCCTACACCCATGCCTCCAATCAGAGCCAAAGCAAAACTTAACTCTGGATTTCCCCCCAGAGATGGACCCTGTCCAAGAACGTGATAGTGACAGGGAGCTGATCGAATTGTTGGGGTGAGGGCACGTCTACAGGGGCAGACCCCTCCTTCTTTGTTGCACCCTGTCCTTATCTTCAGTCCCCCTGCACTGCACCCCTCCTTCTTTTACCTGTGTACATACACCAGCTATAGCCCATTAAATAATTACATGTCATAGGTATGGTATGTCTATTTATATATGCGTGTATACACACACATATACACACAAATGTATATATCATATATTATCTAAAGTTGCTTTGTATGGAAAGTTTTGTATCCTCATCTGAGGACACTTTTTAAATTGATTTTAGCAAGAGAGAAAGGGAGAGGGAGAAAGAGAGACATCTATGTAAAAGGGAAACATGATTGTTTGCCGCCTTATGTATCCCTACCAGGGAACAAACCCGCTACCTGGGTATATGCCCTGACTGGGAATCGAACCTGCGTGCTACCTTTCAGTCTACTGAATGACACTGCGACCAACTGAGCCACACCAACCAGGGCTGTATGGAGATTTTTTAAAAGTTTTCCTTATTTATTTACTTATTGGGACAATAGCTATGGAGTTGTTTTTTTTTCCTTTTGTTTGTTTTTTTGTTTTGTTTACATTTACTTAAGAAAGCACCAGTGGGTGAGCATCCTTCGGAGGTTTTCTATTATTGTGCTTATTTGGGGATCTGAACCTCTGTGAAGGAATCACGCCTTCTTTCCATGAACTGCTTTAGGGCAAGTTGAAAAAAAGAGGAGCCCTGGAGTTGACTGTTTGCAATAAGGGTGACATCTCTTCCCCCGCGGAGACATTCCTGGCCCCTGTGCTCTATCGGCCTCTGTCACATGTTTTCATAGCAACCTCTGGGTCTTCAAAGAACTCATTTCTTTCTGCTGTGCTGGCAGTAAACTCCAAGATGAGGATGTCGCTCCTTCCTCACAATTGTGTTTGTAGTTCCAGAGTGGCCTCACTACCCTCTAAGGGGTGAAAGAGTAACTGATGAAGAAACTGATGAGGAAAGGGCATGTTGGAGAAATGGTGGCTGTTGGGTATTAGTGTCCTAAGCATGTCAAAAGTACACCTAGGTTTGTCTCCCTTCCTTTCTTCCTCCCTCCCTTCCTTTCTTCCTTCCCCCATCCCTTCATTCATACTTTCTTTCCTTCTTTTTAACTTTAATACACTTAGTGACTTCGACAAGTTACACATTCTCTGGCCCAAGTTGTTTCAGTTTTTGAATAGCTTTTTAAGTATACCTCATAGCACATTAAGTATCGGACAATGTCCAGTCTAACAAATTCATGTGTTTATCAGTTTCACAATACAAGGGAAATGCCTGCTATTTACATGATAACTTTAAGTACTTGTTTAAAACCCATGGCTTCATTGGGAATGTTAATATCCTCAGGTTTAGACAAAACAACAAAACAGCCCAGTGGATTTCCTTGGTAATAAAAGTTTTATGTAACCAAAAATAATTAAGTAGGAAAAGAGAACAGTATGGTATCAAAAGTATAATGTCTTCTTATTTCCTTTTCAAGGACATTTTATGTTTGTTGTTCCATCATAGCAATGTAGTCAGGAATTTAACTTCCAGAATTTGATTTTTGAAAATATATTTTCAGTTTTAATCATGAATGCAAAAATTCTTTATAGAATTCTTTATTCGGTATAGTCAAAAACATTGTAAAATATTGGCTCAACATAAATTAATACTTAGCTGAGATATGAGGTCAAAAAGTTCAACAACTTACCTCGTATAATCTTTCTTTTCTTTTTTCTTTCTCTCTCTCTCTCTCTCATCAGTCTACAATTTATTTATAATTACCCATCTGGGAAACTGAGACTTTCAGTGCATTGTGAAATTATTAGAGACATGATTCCACAGAGAATACTATTTTATTTTTATATAGTTATTATGGAAATGGTTTCTCCTTAAAAATCACTGTCATTTATTAGGTAATTGGTATACTTAAGGTCCTGGGATACAAAATTTAATTGCTTTTTCTCACGGCTCCCTCATGAAAACTCAGGCATCTGTAATCATCGTTTCTGTAATGAAGAGGAGGGGGAACAAGACAGAGAGGTTAAGGAACTTACCTGTGTTTGAATGGTTAACATGTTACAGGTTAATGTTCACATTACTTGTAATAGTTTTATTCATAAAATTGTATCACTTGTTTTTCTGTGTTAATTGCAGTCACAGTATTTTTGAATAAAATGTAATTCAAATGTTATATGGCTTACAACATTTATTTTAAAAGAGTCAAATAAGATTTATGTGTAAATTCAAGAAGAGGATAACATTTCCTTATTTTCTCATGCTAATAAACTCTTTAACAGGTAATAATTTCCCTGTATGTTATTTCATTATGAGTCTAAAATATTATAGCAGTAAAAATGCTAATGTTAATTTAAATCTATAAAAAATATTCAAACTTTCTTTGCAGGACACTTTTTTTTACCCTGACTCCCTTGCCCCCAAAGAAAACCTTAAACAGTGGTCTCTGGTAATTACTTTAATGGATATATTAGGCTTTTTTATACACATGTTTCATTTTTGTCTGTTCACATGATTATTAATAATCAACAAAGTTGCTAAATAACAATCTAATATATGTGATATTTTTAAAAATCTTAATGGAAGCAAGTTACATTTGCTGAATCATCATAGCAAATTATGAAATCATCACCCTTTGGCTAATATAAAACATTACCTCTTTATAAAATTTACTTCATTGATATAGCAATTTCATTCATCCCTTTAATGAGAAAATTTACTTTCTTGATATTAATAAAACCATCTGTTCCATCTCAAGATAATGTTTTTGAACCTCAAACTTGAGCATATAGATATTTACAAAATAATTTCTGTTGCCTTTACAGAAAGATAAAGAAGACCAGTGGCTGGAGAAAAAGGTGCAGGGAAATAAAGACCACATTATTTTGGAGCATCTACAGTGGACAATGGGGTATGAAGTTCAGATTACAGCTGCCAACAGATTGGGATACTCAGAACCGACAGTCTATGAATTCAGCATGCCACCAAAGCCTAACATAATTAAAGGTAAGCAATACTACATGCTTTCTTAGGCTGAAAATAAACATAATATCGTCTCTATAATCCCTCTGGATCATTTCATATTATTGGACATAAAATTTTATACAAAGAAGTATAAATTCTAAATTCTAATTATGATTATGACATGTCTTACTCAAGATTTTTCAGTCACTCATGCTGTGGTCAACTGGTTAATTTATAAGTCTATTTTGGTAACTTTAGTGGTTAAGATGGTGGAGAGAGGATAAGCAAAGGGGGAGGATGGAAAGTAAGAGTAACTGTTGAATGTCAACATGAAAACCTGCAATTGAGATAAGAAACTTTGCAAAGGAGACAACTTCTCTGCCAGATATGTGGGGACTGGCCCTCCACTTCTGGGAAGATATGGCCAAAATACTGAGGAGCTCACCTGTGCCCAACCAGGCAAGTTGATTTGGGAACTATAAAATCTATTACACAGTGATGCAGAAACACCCAGACGTAGCCCCATAAATAAATGTAACGAGTTTCAGGGAGACTCCCAAAGTGTCAGGACACTCTGCATCGGTTTCACAGCACACTGGTGGATTCTGCCTTTGTTGCTAATGGTGCTTATATCACACCTAGCTCATGCCATTCCCGAAGACTTCAACAGGGATAGGGAAATGTTTTTCATATACATGCCAAAGAGGTAAAGATGCAAGAATTTATCTTGATTCCTAGTCATATTTACTTCTGTAAGTGAGTTGTCATAGTAGACATACTTTGACATTTACTGTTTTGTTAAATATCATTTAATTTTCACAGGTGATTTTTATGCATATGTATGCATTTCTGTGTACTCTTTGCATTTATACATAGACATGAGAGCACCATATTCTTAAGCATGGTTTAATTTAGTCACATCATAATAGAGTTTCAGTCTTGTTACATAACAGTTTTGAGACTGAAAAAAATTGTCACTTCAGTCATGCTTTTTAACCCTCTTGTAATTTCAAATTGATATTAATCTCATTATGATTTTGTTATATTGTACATCACTTTTGTAAAATTGAGAGCAGCTTTATACAATTAATCTATCCATTAAAAAGTAATTACTATTTGTTATATGACTCAAAAGCAATTAATATAATGGCTTTGTGTTTCTAATATTAATTAAAAAGTGCTTCCAATTATAATTTGAAATTAGGAAGTTGGGAGCATCTAGAAATAATATGGGTATCTTATATTGTAATGGCGTCTTGAAAGATTTACAAAGTATTTCATTTATTATCTCATTTTACTCCTGATTCTGAATATTAAAGTACTGATATAATTTTGAGGGGTTAAAGGATCTGTTCAAGGTCAGAGCTACTTTATTTTATATGACAAATCTAATCTTCTTATAAGGTGATATATCTAAATAGAAGAATGGTTGAATGAACTATCATCACCCCTCTGAGTTTGAAACATCTATAACTGACTCTAAAATTATAATGTATTATGGTTGCAGTAATTACCTTGTATGCATATATAGCTAGATTATGATATACTATTCTTAATTGGAGTCAGAATTCTTAAAGGAGGATTGAAACAGTATACTTCATCCTCCTAAATTTTTAATGTAGCTCATGTACTTGGAGGAAATAATTTTTTTTCAGAATAAAAAGTTATATTTTAATGAATTAAAAATTAATGTTTTAATAACATTATATAGATAAAATACAAACTGCAAAAAATATTTCAGGCAAGTCACTTGATTTTATACTCCCAGGGACCCTGCTATTTTTATATGAAATTGTTAATAAAAACCAACATTAAATATAGAAAAAAGGTAAATAAATAAATAACATATATATAAAGGCACAAAAATAGCTAAGGTACTCAGTGATACATTTACTATGAAAGCTTTTTGGTTTGTTTCAATTTCAGAGAATCAGTTTGTGCATAAAATGAACAGAATTCTGGTTTACAGTTTCAGATTTGCACTCATCACTTAGTTTCTCTTGATAAGCATTTTCTCGTTTCTAAGCTAGTTTCTTCAGGTTATGTAATGCTAAGATTCATTCATTCATTTATTCCGACTATTTTGGGGGGGGTCTTGCTTTATGTCAAGCACCGAGATGAGTACAGAATAATCATATGTGAAAAGTATAGACCTGTCCCCTGCCTTCAAAGACATTACAATCTAGTAAGGAACATAGGCATTAAACAAGATTTAGAATAACCACCGCATAATTATAGCTAGGAGACGTCCTGGTGCAATATGCTACCATGAGAAAGTTCGACAAGGATATCTAAATTATGCGGGTAAGGTGGGGGTTAAGGAAAGGTTCCCTTAGAAGGCGACTTTCTCAAAGAAATGCGTAGGGAGTATACCTTTCAGGGAATGTGTCTTATATGGAACAAATCTTTGAGAGAAGGAAGAAACTGATATGCTTTGGGAATCAGAAAGAGCATGTCAGGAAGAGAGCCTGAAGGTGTGTGAACAAAGATAAGGCTAGAGAGGGACCAGAAGTCCAGAAAATTCAAGACCTTCTAAAACCATATAAATAATTTTAGGACATCTTCAAAAACCATTAAGAAATTATTTGAAGCAGGAAAGTTACATGAATAGATCAGTGTTGTAGACAGATTTTACTCTTGCTCACATGGGTAAAAGCATTATATGAGTGAACAGTAATGCTTGCAAAAAAGCGATGGGGGTAGAAAAAGAAAGCAATGAATGAATCCCAGAAACAATGCACATGTAGACTAGCCCTGCTTGTAGCAGATCCGATTCAGTAGGTACTGGTGAATTTTGAGTGCCTTTCTTGGGCATTTGGGCCATTCTTGGCATTGTTTCTGATGATGAAGAGTTTTGGATTTGGAGAATGAAGAGTAACAAAAGATCAGTTTGGTATTCATTAACTTTCCGATGTCAAGTAGTAGTTGTATGAGTAAGGAGAAGAAAAGGTCCATGATTTATGTATGACAATGTTGTCAGCTTCAGCAGAGGAATGGTATTGGAAGCTTGGGTGAGTTTGCAACCGAACTGAGTGATACCTCTGACTAGGAGTTAATGTTTGTGATATGGATAGATGTTTCCTTGGCATCTAGAAGGGTGATTGGTACAGCATAGATGTTCAAGGAGTGTTTCTCAAGTGACTAAAGTGCAAAGGGTTAAGAACTGCCTGCTAAGAAACCATAATATGATACGGGAGGAGGAAACCCGGCCACCACCCCTCCAGTGAGACTATGGTGTAGTTTTCCTGGAATATCACAAGAGTATAGTATCTCGAAAGTGAACAGAGAGCCATATTTCAAGGAGAAAATAATTGAATGATATTTGACACTTCAAATGTGGCTGAGAGGTCAAGGCAGCTTATTAAAAAGAGATGTGAAATGCCCCTGTCACATCCAGCTTTGCTGAAGTAATGGGGAGAGAAATTGAGGAAGAATAGGCTGAGGATTGTGTGTGAGGGCAGGATGATAGCACTCCATGTTTATTTAATACTTTCAAATAGCGTTGACATGAAGATGGGCAAAGAAAAAATAACAGTTAGTGTTACAAGGATTTTTATGATGAAAAAAAACTAGCGCATATTTTACAGCTGATAAACGGATGGATAATGTTGTCAAGAAGTTAGACAGATGTACAAACATATCTGAGAACATAGGAGATAGAATTCATAGCCTCTAAGCTATTCTGCTGATGCAAAGCCAGAGTAGCTTACTGGAAATGGGAAATAATGAAATATTTATAGTTTCTACAAAAATATCACAAAATAATGTCTAATTGAGTATGAGTAAATCCAAGTACTCCTAAGTCCTCTTGGAAAGTCACATCAAAGACATACCCTGATAGTTCAAGAATTATTTGATTTACCCATATTTTTCAGACCATAAGATTCACCCAGGTTTTAGAGGAGGAAAATAGAAAAAAATTGAAGCAAAAAATACAGTGAAATATTTAATAAAATAAATAACATAATATTTCATCAGTGTAAAAGTAAACAGAACTCAACAGCAGCATTAACAACCATTATTCCTCCCAAATTTGGGGGTGGGGTGCATCTTATAGTCCAGGAAATACGGTAGCTCTAGGAAGTTTATTAGAGCAAATCAAGTTTTTGATGGATGATGATGAATATGGGAGCTTTTGCAGCCAAAATATTTTACAGAGCTAAAAGGATGTATTAGCAAAATAAAGAAAAAGTATCTTTATGTGCTTTCCTCATAATCACTGTCGTTATATATGGTTTCTTATTCCATTTTAAATAAACATGCTAAATTCAAACTCATATCTGAAATAAGTTATCTATAATAAAATAGCAATCTTATGTTTTTTTACTTAATTTGAGAAGATACGGAGTTTAAAGTTCATTTAGATTGCAGGTTTTTTGGGGGGGAGGGCTTTCTGTTTTGTTTTATTTATATAAAATGCATTGTAGACTATCTAAATGATGTTATAGACTTTTACATTAAAAAAACATCATTTACATGCACTCAGATATATTTAACTTTTTGCAAGTAATAGACTGCATCTAGAATATATTTATTTTGGGGCTGAAGAACTATGTTTTTTGAAAATGTGTTCATCTTGCCTTCATATATTCTATTGATAACATTGGCTTACATATACATATACACATACATATACATATACATATAATTTTAGTGGATAATACATTTCTTTATAGTACATGATTCTGATTTAAAAGTATTTAATGATTAATAATATTTTTTCATTTTTACTACTTAAAGACGTTTTTATTTTGAAAGATGTGTTTCTTAACAAATTAGTATTTATAAAAAGGATTATAAAACCATATATAGAACTAGAGTCTGGTCAAATGAATTTTATGGATCTGCTCTATAATTTTAATGACTAAAGATAATACTATCTTGGTTGTTTGAATATATCATTTTAAAAAGCCCTTGAAAATAAATTTATTTTGAAATCATTTTCATCATTTTTTGACCTATAAAGTGTTTAATATTATTTGTTATAAGCAAAGAGAAATCTTAATCTCCTTTAGTAATCACTTTATCTTGTTACTGTGAAT